TCACTGGATTGTCTGGTCCAGACTATTACTTACAGACTGCCGTCATATAGCTGGAATATTGTTGAGTGCGGCGTTAATCAGCGAAGAAACAAACCTGCAAACTAAACAACATTTCCAGACATATCAAAAATGCCTAGTGGAAAACAAATAAGTTAAGGATCAATAGCGATTATTGTAAATAAAGAACGTTTCTCGTCGCTGATTCTCTTTGAAAGAAAACGTTTGCTCTCTTTAGCAACACTGGAACCTTTCAACTTGTTTCATCAAACAGAGTTGAATTAAGGAGACGATCAGTGTGTGGAAAATAGCACAGATGTAAAAACATCTTTGTGATATGACTTGTTAACGATCAAAGCCGACCTGTGAAGATCCGGGGTAGAATAGGTCTTCAGCAACCCATGCTTGCCGTAAAAGGCGACTATGCTTGTCGTAAAAGGCAACTAATGAGATCGGGTGGTCAGGCTCGCTGACTTGGTTGATGCATGTCATCGATCCCAATTGCGTGGATCGATGCTAGTGATGTCAATCACTGGATTGTCTGGTCCAGACTTTATTATTTACAGACCACTGTCATATAGCTTGAATATTGCTGAGTGCGGCGTTAAACAACAAACCAACCAACCAACCAACGATCAAAGCCTGCTTTAAATGATTAAGCTTCAGTGTGCGAAAGAGGAAGTGTGGATTTGAAAACACTTTTCCTGCTATCATTGACATTGCGTGGTTGTCCAGGTGCATATGCCCTCGAAGTCGCTTATTTCAGGTCGGTGAACATCAGCTCCAGGTGATTTGTTGACAGGTAAACGTTATTTTGCCACACGATCGGGTAGACTTTGTTGTTTTCATGGTATTGAAGTAATTAGCTGCAGTGACAATTGCCCACTTTGTGGTGTTGATGTTCTGTGTTAGTCGGGGAGTATTGCTGATTCAGGGTGAATGGGTTTTAGATTATCATAGCCCAGCTTGTATTGTTCTCATATGACTTGCCAGTGGGTATTCCGGCGCAGAATTGGTCTTCAATATCCTGCGTTGATTGTTGTGAGAGCTCAAGCAAATTGGATTGTGTGTGATAATGTGTGACCTTTAATGCATGTAATTGTACCCAGACTGGGTGGACCTTTGTTCATGCCAGTAACTGGGGGCACGGGTGGCCCAGTCGTCTAAGGCGCCGCTAGTCGCTGTGCAGAGTTGCGTCCCTTGGGCACGCCAGAAACCTATGGTTGATGGTTCGAATCCCGGTTCGCCTCGATTATGTTTCTAGGTTTGTCAGCATCATACCCGTGCTCGTGGGTTTCACCGAAGTTGTAAACGTGCATTACTTCGGGCTTTCCTCCCACATTAAGCTGACACGCCGTGATATAACTGGAACACTGTTAAAAGCGGTGTTCAAAACCCAACTCACTCATGCCAGCAACTGCTGGTTCTGGTCAGACCTTTTTGATAGGATATTTGTCTATTCTCCTCAAATAGGATGTTTATCTCATTGACTAATCTGACAAAGTTGATATTTTCCTGAGAGGCACAGCAATTTGCTTTCTTTGTAATCTGGTAGTAGATGGAGCGTCTGCCCAAAGAGCAGGAAGTTGCAGCTCGATACCTGGCTGCACAATACCAAAAGACGTTACCCAAAATGGTAATGTCTTGTTACCTGACCTGATACTCGGCATTAAGGGGCTAAAGCTCAAACAAGGACTGGTCGGCTTGGAGTCAGTATACTGTGTCTGAGTAGGGTATTTATGTAAAACTGCGGCATGGTACCTCAGTGGGCTAGCACTATAAAACCGGCTTTATTCCGGACTAGTACAAGCCCCTCCCCATACACGCTTGTGCAGATGCACTTTTAGAAGTGCAACAATCTTGTAAAGCAACATTAAACCCCATGTCATCTCCCCTCTTAGTAATTGGCATCTTACTGTAAATATTATTGTGTCATTTAGCCAGACTGAAAGTACTTCTGCATAAAGTGCTGTTTGACAGGAGTTTATTTTTTCATTTTTTTGCCAATGAATACAGTATTTCACCACTACATGATAAAGCTGTCATATTATCATTTTTCTGACTCCCTTTCCCCGAATGTTATCAGCTTGATGGTGTCGTGGATATTCCCCTGCATGTTGTTTCACCAAAGTAGTAAAAGTCTGCATTGTGTGGGCCACTTCAGGCTTACCATCCACATTAAGATGGCATGTTGTTGTGTGATTTAAATACCATTCAGTACTGCACTAAGCTTTGCTCGCTCACTGACTTGCTATCTAGCTCGTTCTCGAACGAACAAACAAACAAATAGCTCACTCACTCATGCACCAACCCACTCACTCACTCACTTAAAAATATCCCATCATGAAAGTGGCATGCCTTTTGTGGTGATGAAAGATGATGATGATTGTGGGAGTGATGATGATGATGCTTAAGTTCATGATGATAATGATGATGATGCTGATGATGAAGCTAAAGATTATGATGAAAGATGATGATGATGAAAGACGATGATGCTGATGATGATGAAAGATGATGATGCTAAAGATGATGATGCTAAAGATGATGATGCTAAAGATGATGATGAAAGATGATGATGATGAAAGACGATGATGCTAAAGATTATGATGAAAGATGATCATGAAAGATGATGATGCTAAAGATGATGTAAGATGATGAAGCTAAAGATGATGAAGCTAAAGATGATGATGAAAGATGATGATGCTAAAGATGATGATGAAAGATGATGATGCTAAAGATGATGATGAAAGATGATGATGCTAAAGATGATGATGAAAGATGATGATGAAAGATGATGATGCTAAAGATGATGATGAAAGATGATGATGCTAAAGATGATGATGAAAGATGATGATGCTAAAGATGATGATGAAAGATGATGATGAAAGATGATTATGAAAGATGATTATGAAAGATGATGATGCTAAAGATGATGATGAAAGATGATGATGAAAGATGATGATGCTAAAGATGATGATGAAAGGTGATGATGCTAAAGATGATGATGCTAAAGATGATGATGAAAGATGATGATGAAAGATGATGATGAAAGATGATGATGCTAAAGATGATGATGAAAGATGATGATGAAAGATGATGCTAAAGATGATGATGCTAAAGATGATGATGAAAGATGATGATGCTAAAGATGATGATGAAAGATGATGATGAAAGATGATGATGAAAGATGATGATGCTAAAGATGATGATGAAAGATGATGATGAAAGATGATGATGCTAAAGATGATGCTAAAGATGATGATGAAAGATGATGATGCTAAAGATGATGATGAAAGATGATGATGCTTAAGATGATGATGAAAGATGATGATGAAAGATGATGATGCTAAAGATGATGATGCTAAAGATGATGATGAAAGATGATGATGCTAAAGATGATGATGAAAGATGATGATGCTAAAGATGATGATGAAAGATGATGATGCTAAAGATGATGATGAAAGATGATGATGAAAGATGATGATGAAAGATGATGATGCTAAAGATGATGATGAAAGATGATGATGAAAGATGATGATGCTAAAGATGATGATGAAAGATGATGATGCTAAAGATGATGATGAAAGATGATGATGAAAGATGATGATGAAAGATGATGATGCTTAAGATGATGATGCTAAAGATGATGATGAAAGGTGATGATGCTAAAGATGATGATGCTAAAGATGATGATGAAAGATGATGATGAAAGATGATGATGAAAGATGATGATGCTAAAGATGATGATGAAAGATGATGATGAAAGATGATGCTAAAGATGATGATGCTAAAGATGATGATGAAAGATGATGATGCTAAAGATGATGATGAAAGATGATGATGAAAGATGATGATGAAAGATGATGATGCTAAAGATGATGATGAAAGATGATGATGAAAGATGATGATGCTAAAGATGATGCTAAAGATGATGATGAAAGATGATGATGCTAAAGATGATGATGAAAGATGATGATGCTTAAGATGATGATGAAAGATGATGATGAAAGATGATGCTAAAGATGATGATGCTAAAGATGATGATGAAAGATGATGATGCTAAAGATGATGATGAAAGATGATGATGAAAGATGATGATGAAAGATGATGATGCTAAAGATGATGATGAAAGATGATGATGAAAGATGATGATGCTAAAGATGATGCTAAAGATGATGATGAAAGATGATGATGCTAAAGATGATGATGAAAGATGATGATGCTTAAGATGATGATGAAAGATGATGATGAAAGATGATGATGCTAAAGATGATGATGCTAAAGATGATGATGAAAGATGATGATGCTAAAGATGATGATGAAAGATGATGATGCTAAAGATGATGATGAAAGATGATGATGCTAAAGATGATGATGAAAGATGATGATGAAAGATGATGATGAAAGATGATGATGCTAAAGATGATGATGAAAGATGATGATGAAAGATGATGATGCTAAAGATGATGATGAAAGATGATGATGCTAAAGATGATGATGAAAGATGATGATGAAAGATGATGATGAAAGATGATGATGCTTAAGATGATGATGAAAGATGATGATGAAAGATGATGATGAAAGATGATGCTGAAGATGATGATGAAAGATGATGATGCTAAAGATGATGATGAAAGGTGATGATGCTTAAGATGATGATGAAAGATGATGCTAAAGATGATGATGAAAGATGATGATGAAAGGTGATGATGAAAGATGATGATGCTAAAGATGATGATGATGAAAGATGATGATGCTAAAGATGATGATGATGAAAGATGATGATGATGATGGATGATGATGATGAAAGATGATGATGATGAAAGATGATGATTGTGGTGATGATGGAAGTGAACTCCTTCCCCTTTCTTCCTTTCTCCCCCTTTCTATCACTCACTCACCCCCTGACTGTCTGCAGCTTAGTTAAATTATTGTTCAGCTCTTTGATATCTTTTGTTTCTTTTTTGTGTTTATCTTGGAACATGATATTTTCATATTTACAGGTAAACCAACAACTTTAGTCTCACACCTTGGTTTTGACATGAACTCGTTAGAGCAAAGGTAAGACAATCTTAATTACTTCTGAACTGCAGGGTAGAAGAGGGTATACACATGAAAATTGGATTTGACCCAAAAATTACAAAAGTTGTTGCTAGGCAACAGGTGCCAAAACACTGTAAACTTGAGGTCCAAAACAGAACTATTATACCTGTGTAACCCATCACCATCAAACAACTATTTCTTGTTTGTTTCATTTTTAGCCACGATCAAACATGAGTGTATACGTTCTTTTGCCTGGCAGTTTATGTACATAAGCGTTCTGTCCTTATGGGCCATGTTTTAATTCTGTACTGTTCATTCCATGACGGACCGCCTCCGTGGTCTTGTGGTAGAGCGTCCGCCCGGAGAGCGGAAGGTCCGGGGTTCGATCCCGGGCCGCGTCATACAAAAAGACGTTAAAAGATTGTACTTGTTGTTACCATGTCTGGCGCTCGGCATTAAGGGGCTAAAACAAGGACTGGTCGGCTCGGAGTCAGTATACTGTGTCTGAGTGGGGTATTCATGTTAAACTGCGGCATGGTATCTCAGTGAGCTAGCACTATAAATCGGCATCAGTCCGGACTAGTACAAGCAGCCAAACACACACATACACGTGCATGCACGTCGCTATATAAGTGCAATAATCTTGGACGCGACGTTAAACCCAATTTCACCTCACCTCACCATTCCATGACGACAACATTGGTTTTAGCCCGTGCACTCATTCGAACGTATCATTGGTGGGGTAGGAATAGTTTATGTTTGTTTCACCTGAAAGCCAGCAAAGGCTTCATCATATATTTAACCAGTTCTCAAGAAACAGCATCGAAACTCCTGTTTAAATATTATACTCACTGAAGGTAAGTTGAGTTGTAGCTTCCAACGCCACCAATGTCTGCATTCATCTTCTCTTCAGAAACTTATGCTTGTCGTAAAAGGCAACTAACAGGATCGGGTGGTCAGGCTCGCTGACTTGGTTGATACATGTCATCGGTCCCAATTGCGTGGATCGATGCTCATGATATTGATCACTGGATTGTCTGGTCCAGACTCAATTATTTACAGACCGCCGTCATATAGCTGGAATATTGCTGAGTGCAGCGTAAAACAACAAACCAACCAACCAACCAACTCTTCAGAAACTGAAATTTCACATGCTTGGTCCAAAATGTTGACACCTAAATTTGCCTCAGTTTTCTTGTGGGTCCTTGCTTGTCCTCTAAAAATTGTTTTCAGGCTGTTGTATTAGAGATGTGTCGTAAAACAACATTCACGATTTCTATAGAATTGGATGAGGGTTGGGACGGGAAGTTCTGGTACTCGGGTCAGGTGGGTACTGAGTGGTACCAAGGTACCCTGTGGTTTGTCAAGTGATGTATTGCTTAATGACAAAAACTCACTATGGGTCAGTGGTTACACTACAAGTCACTGATGTTTGCATTTCTTTCTGCGATGCACACATTCCTTTTGACTTGAATATGTTTAAGAAAAGATAAAGCTTCAGTCAACTTCATTCAGTGTATTCATGATCAGATCGTTTGATAGTTTGATACATGTATCTAAATAGTTTTTGCTGCAGTAAAACAATTCCCAATCAGACATTTTGTTCCCAACTCTTGATGCCTACAGTGGGAACGCGGGTAGGGTCAGGTAATAGAGGGTCGGGTACCCGGATAGTAAATTTGGACTCGTCCCAGCCCTAATAGTATGCCTTGTGTAGTCATATCTTTGTTCATTCTTTCGATCCAGTTAACAATTTATCTCACAAGTACTCATTACAGGGAATGTCAACAACACTCGTAACATCATGGGAATCAATTTGCCGAAGGTGAAAGGCATGCATCAGCTGTCCGTGCAAAGTTCTTTTGAGTCTACTGGCCCAAACTGGTCCTAACCATCATTTTCAGTAATTTTGATACGTGTATCTTAGGAGTTATGGCCAGGGCTGCGGTAAAACAATTCCCAGTCAGACATTTTGTATCTATCTCTTGAAACCTACAATGGGTAATAAATTTGGACTCGTCCCAACCCTAAATTGGACCCCATTTTCACACACTTAACTTCAACTGAATGTCTGAAATTGCACTCAGAAACTACGATGTTGGAAATATCCACCACAATATAGAAGCATGGCTTTATTTGTATTTATTCAGAATATCTTCAGTTATTTTCATTTCGAGCTCCAGACATCAGCCATGCTTGGCTGAATGTTTTGCTCACTCTTTGAAGAAATTTACATATCTTGATGTTGATTGGCTGATTAGGAAGTTCACCTGATGCGACCTCCTATAGATGATCTCAGATCTCCGGGTGGAGCGGCAGCGTATCGGAGTAAAACATCTGATTTTCCCGAGATAATGTTTTCTTCCCCCTCAGTGACTTGCATGCACGGAGTAACCTTGCCGATCTAGTGACAATTCCCATGTTGGATGTATTTCAATAAAACAACAACATCAAAACTAAGGGTTGAGAGGAATGGTGTCATTCACGAGTCTAGTGACTTTCATCAATAGCAATTATTGGTGTAATTATGTATGTCTACTATATCAAGCGTCGTAATGAAACACTGGTATCAGTGATGTGGAGTAGATCTCCAATAATCAGTGTTTCATCCTCTCATGGGGAGCCGTGAAGTGCTGATGGAACTAATGATGGCATTGCATGCACTAAAGTAGTCCTCGTTCAATGACTCTAGAAGTTTTTTGTTAACGTGTGAAAATGTATTTTGACATTGAGATGTTTCTTATTTATCATCGGAGAGGATTTGTGATGATGTTTCAGGCTGTCCTCCAACTTTTAGCTCACATGTGTGTGTGTGTGTGTGTGTGTGTGTGTGTGTGTGTGTGTGTGTGTGTGTGTGTGTGTGTGGTGGGGGGGGGGAAGGGGGGATGTAGCCTTGTGGTTAAGGAGTTCACTCATCATGAAGGCCTGGGTTCGATTCCCCACATGGGTACAATGTGTGAAGCCCATTGAAGCCCAAGTGTGTCCCCCTGCCGTGATATAAGTGGCATAAAACCATACTCACTCACTCACTCATATTCCATGAACTGCGATAATGTGGTATTAAACTCACTAACTAGATTGTCCAGATCCTCAGCCCGTCTGAATGACGAGAACAGCAGGATGGCGGTATGGCATCCAGATCCTCAGCCCGTCTGAATGACGAGAACAGTAGGATGGCGTCCAGAGCCTCAGCCTGTCTGAATGATGAGAACAGTGGGATGGCGGTATGGCGGTATGGCATCCAGATCCTCAGCCTGTCTAAATGACGAGAACAGTAGGATGGCGGTATGGCATCCAGATCCTCAGCCCGTCTGAATGACGAGAACAGTAGGATGGCGGTATGGCGTCCAGATCTTCAGCCTGTCTGAATGATGAGAACAGTAGGATGGCGGTATGGCATCCAGATCCACAGCCCGTCTGAATGACGAGAACAGTAGGATGGCGGTATGGCATCCAGATCCACAGCCCGTCTGAATGACGAGAACAGTAGGATGGCGTCCAGATCCTCAGCCTGTCTGAATGATGAGAACAGTGGGATGGCGGTATGGCGGTATGGCGTCCAGATCCTCAGCCTGTCTGAATGATGAGAACAGTAGGATGGCGGTATGGCGTCCAGATCTTCAGCCTGTCTGAATGATGAGAACAGTAGGATGGCGGTTTGCCTCAAGATCCTCAGCCTGTCTGAATGACGAGAACAGTAGGATGGCGGTATGGCGTCCAGATCCACAGCCCTTCTTAATGACGAGAACAGTAGGATGGCGTCCAGATCCTCAGCCTGTCTGAATGATGAGAACAGTAGGATGGCGGTATGGCGTCCAGATCTTCAGCCTGTTTGAATGATGAGAACAGTAGGATGGCAGCATGGCTGACATAGACAGAAAAGCCTCATGTTGAGGTACAAGATAAATGTAATTTGTTACCCGAAATTAATCAGTGAGGTGATTGATGGTCGTCTTTATCCAATTATTAACGATAGTGGCTGCTTTTCATCAGATAGGGTTACTGTTGTTAGATGACTGGCTTTTGCAGCATGTTCATAAAAGCGATGAATGAAAGGATGGGTGTGAAATGGAAATGATGAGATTATCGTCAGGTTCTGAAAATCCAATATATGCCAGAAATATCATACATAGTTATAAAGACTTTGTAAATTGGATGTGATTATATCATTAAGTCATAACTCGCACGTGTGGTTACGAGATAATTTGCTTCTGGTGTCTAAGGTATTCAATGCCAAAGAAAGTAACTTTTGTCACAGTAGTTTGACTTTTGACATAAGGATTTAGTGTAAATCTAATGATATGTAATTATGGGGAGAAGAAAATATTTTGGGTGTTTATTTATTCCATAATTGAAATAATTTGTGCTCTGGGTGTTGACCCTTGGAGAGGATGAAGATATTTTTTTAGATATTTTTGGTACTGTTGAGGATGGAAACACTTAAGTAAGGAGATTTACATTTTCTTGCAAGTTTTATATTCACTCAAGTTGTCTGATGATTTGTCATGGTGGCTTCAAACAGGTCCTGTACCCAATGCTTGTCTCCCCTTGGAGATTCTATGTGGAATAGACACCTTGTACCCCATGTGTGTCTTCTGTTGGTGGTTTTGATGCTTGTCATGATAGCCAAACAATGTTGAAAAGTTGGATACCATGTCCTCTGTTTCCCCTTGCATAATATTTATGTTGTAAGCTGGTGAAAAGCCATTTTCATGAAGAGAATCCCTAACTAAGTCACGGTTTAATTAACTGCTGCGATATTTTCCACAGAAAAACTATTTTGAGTATTGTGACAGTTCAGCAAAAAGCAACGGCACGGCACAACAACAGGATTTTAATTTTAAGAGGTTATGTTTTAAAATGTCATTACCTTGAACTCCATACATTATATAACGTTTGTTGTTGGCAACTGAGGACTGACCCCTGGGACAGAGTAGGACCCCAGGGACAGAGTAAGACCCCAGGGACAGAGTAGGACCCCAGGGACAGAGTAAGACCCCAGGGACAGATTAGGACCC